GGTTTATCCAGTAGCCATGTATGGAAGTGAGAGCTGGACCATAAAGAAAGCTGACAGCCGAAGAATTGATGCTTTTGAATTGTGATGCTGGAGGAGACTCTTGAGAGTCCCATGGACTGCAAGGAGAATAAACCTATCCATTTTGAAAGAAATCAGCCCTGGGTGCTCACTAGAAGGACAGATTCTGAAGCTGAGGCTCCAGTACTTTGGCCATCTCATGAGAAGAGAAGATTCCCTGGAAAAGACCCTGATGTTGGGAAAGTGTGAAGGCAAGAGGAGAAGGGGACGACAGAGGACAAGATGGATGAACAGTGTTACTGAATCTACCAACATGAATTTGACCCAATTCCAGGAGGCAGTGGAAGACAGGAGGGCCTGGTGTGCTCTGGTCCATGGACATGACTTAACGACTAAACAACAACAAATGGTAATATTTTGTTGAAAACCTATATTGTATGAAAAGTATAGTCAATATATATCTTCTGAGTAGCATTTCTGTTGCTCCATGGAAGATAAATTGATGAGAAGAATGTATTTGGGGTGGCTGGGATATGTTTGTCACGAAAAATGAAATAAAAATAGTTCCTACTATTATAACACTAAAAGCAACCATCTGAATTTTTTGTCATTTTCTTCCAGTGTTTTTAATTGACTGGTTGGTGTAATGTACTTCTCAGCACATTTCCTCTGTGTTTTTTGTGTAGTATTAATGTTCCAATTTATTTTGTTCAGTCTAGTCACAAAGAGAGATCTCCATAAGATGGCACTCTTGAGTTTACAAAAAATATATAGTTATATTAGGTCAGATTGACAGGCTTCTTAAAAGTATTTTCTAATATAAAAGACAGGCTAGAGCCAAGAAGGACTCATTGTTTATGGATATTCATTTGTTGTCCCTGAGGTAGTAAAGAAATAACTTATGTTATTTGCTGTCAAGTCAGGACTTGCAGTGATCCTACTGGGATCCTTCTCATTTTCAAGGCAGATGAGATACTCAGGGAGTGGTTTTACCAATTCCTTCCTCCATTGCTAAATGGGGATTTAAATCCAGGTCTCCTGAGTTCTAGTCTGTCACTTTGTCTGTTACTCCATACTAGGTATTCATACTTGACAGTGTAAGATCAAGTGCGTGTTGTGGTTCATGTAGCAGACTCCCTATTTCCCTCCTCCCTCACCACTGTTTTTATGTAGTCTATTAGAAAGTAGTCCTCTGTGTGGGGAGTTCACTCTTTTTTCATAATTTTGTAGCACTTTTGTACACTAGCTGTAAAGCACTTTTTGAGTAAATTGCAGTAATACATGATGATGTTCGGATGAGCTGGACCTCTAAGGAGAGAGATGTGAACATGAAATAAATTGCCTCAGATACTGCTGTTTTGTATGTTTTGGAATAGCCCAGTTACTTTGGAATTTTAATTTGAAATCAGTTTTTAAATAATGTATTCTTGAATTAATAACTTCTACAAATAATATGGGTCTTATATTTTCTAGTGTATCTGCCCCATACAGTCAACCCTCGACTTATAAACGGCTCTAGATATGAACATTTCAGCTTGTGAACTTTTTTCAAGTTATGAACAAAAAAAAACCACAGAAAGAGAAGGCAGGGAACCTCCCTTCCCACCGCCCCCCACCGCAGCAAGCGCCACTTTCAGAAGCCTCCCAGGGTCAGAGGAAAAGCACCTGTACAAGCTTTCTCCCTGCCTTTCTGGCAGCCATTTTCTGTTCTTCTCCGCTCCCCCCCTTCCCACCTCTCAGCTGATCTGCGCTGGGTCTCAGAGGTTTCCCCGGGCTTGCTCAGCAGGTAAAAAGGCGGGCCTGTTCCCCCCCCCCCAGCAAAGCCCCGCTTTCAGATGCTTCCCTGGGTGCTTTTGCACTGCCTTTTTACCTGCTGAGCAAGCCCGGGGAAGCCTCTGAGATGAGACCCAGCGCAGATCAGCTGAGAGGTGGGGAGGGGGGGCGGGAGCGGAGAAGAGCAAAAAATGGCTGCTACCAAGGCACTGTGAGGAGCCAGGCTCACTTACCAGTACCTGGTAAGTGACTTTGTTTAAATTTTTCCCCCGTAGGAACGCATCAATTAAATTTCAATTCATTCCTATGGGAAATTTGGTTTCGACTTAAGAACTTTTCAACTTATGAACTGACCTTCCAGAACGGGTTACGTTTGTACATCGAGGGTTGACTGTATGGAACTACCAGGGTGGTGCGTTCATCCATCTCCCTTTTAGAAAGAGGTTGAAGCACATTGTTTCTTGACATATATTAACTGTTATATTATTGGCTGATAATAAAATAAATCCACATAGTGCAGATAAAACAGAGAAAGCAGTAAAGGTTCAGTAGCAGTTTGGCCAACAGAAGTTGAATAACTGTCTGTAAAGGTTCATACATTTCATACATGTTGAAATAAGTAATTAAAATGATTTCATTTTTTATTCTGTTCTACCCTCAGGTAAGAACCTTAGGTGGACTACATTAATAAATTCAACAAAGCAGCACAAGAGGCTTAATTTACTGAAATGTAATGATAATATTAAAAGGCCAAATCAAACATGAAAATCAAATAAAATCTAGAAATGGTCAGGTGAAAAAGCTTTTTGTGCATAGGTGGAAAAAATCACTTTCAAACATAAAATATGTTAAAATAGCCTGGTGTATTTATTTTAATTGTGATTCTGAGGCATTAGATACATACTAATGATAATGATATATGGATTAATATTATGGTGTGCCAAATAAAACTGACAAAAAAATGAAATTGTCAGCAGTGGAATGGTTGTGTTCCATGCCTATGATAGGGTATGGTAAATTGTGGACTGACTGATAAACCTTTCAGGGGTTCTTGGCAGGGGAAGAACTGTGAGTTAGCTTTCTTTCTCTCCTCTACCTGATTGATGAGGTGGGAGGGAAAGGAAACAGAAAAAAAACCTCAGAAAGTTTGGCTTGAAGACATTCTGTGGTGCTAGAAAGGTAAGATGTTTGGAGTGCTCATTTTGACACACTTGATACTTGCTTTTTTGTTTATATAGTTTTAATTTGAGTGCACAGTAGTGAGACTGGAAGAGAAACAAATGCCTGAAATACTGTATATGGGAGGAGTACGGTAGATTCGTAAAGTACTAAAAGAAATATATGAAAGCATCAAGGTAACAATCTTTCAGTTAGCAAAACTGCATTGTTAGATATTTGTCTGCTGCACTAGCAAAAATACATGCAGAATAGAACATGATTGCTCAAAATAGTTTGCTCTTTAGTAAAAAACAACAAATGTTTTTATCTGTAGGGAATCTGAAGATACAGCTTTGCTTCTCCTGAAAGAAATATATAGAACTATGAATGTCTATCCTGAACAACCACAGCATTGATGTATGGACGCTTGTCATGGAGAGCCTGTAAGTAATACCCAGCATAAAGTGCAAACTATCTTTGCTTGAGAGGACAGAACACGTTGCAGAACAGGAAAGTCTCCCCACCTCGTATGAAGAGAAAGTGTTAAATGAATCAGTTTTTCACTTATTGAAGAACTGTCAGCATATTTTAAAAGTATTTGTACCCATTATACGCTTGATCTGCTTTATGGCAATGCCATTTTATCCACAATCTCAGCATAAGTATTCCATTTGCAATCTTATTTTTTTCTTCATGCCTACTACAAGTGAATTCAGTGAGCATCTACATCTATCTGTGTCTGTGGGTCTGTCTGTATACAATATGTATAATTGAAGCATGAAAGATTGGACTACTGCTTACCATGCAAATTCCAAGGGATATTCGAGACACAGAGGAAGCATGGAACAGAAATTACTGACATTTCTGATTCTCTGTGTGGGTGTTTTGTATTGTATTTAGTTTAAATATTTGAAGTAAAATTTCACAGCTTTTCCTTGTGGATGATTTTATGTGTAGCCTCTGAAGCCATTAACAAAATAATTTTATATCTTTATCTAAACCTGATAAAATCCTTGTTCCAGTTGTATATTACATAAGATCAGTATGGTGAAAATTCAGTGTTGATGTAGCAGCATGGGTTTTAAGTGACTGTGAGAGTTGTTCTAAAAGGAGCTGTTCACTAACATGAAAAATACGACTTACTGCAGTAGAATAGATAAAATAATGTGTTCCGAAATGTCTGTACACGTCACCAAAAAATTAAAAAACATTATTTTATGTATTTCCCCCATGGTCCCTTGTGCCGGGAAGAAATAGATTAGCTTCCTTTCTGTCTTCTTTCTGATTTCTGAAATGGGAGGGAAATTAAACAGAAACAAAATCCTCAGTATATCCCTTTCCCTTATAAGATTTAATTTTGAAATACTGAGCTTGGTATTAATTTTTATTCAATGAGATACCTAGTATTTCAGTTATTGCCCTCCAGTCTGCTATGCTTTGTTGTCATAGTAACGTTTTCTGGATAGAGAATGTGTATGTGGAAAGAGTTCAACTGAGGTGTGTATGTACATGTAGGCTTAAAGGATTTGAAACTTGGAGCAGGTATTTGTTTTGTACTGCTTAATTAGATATTCTTGCCAGTTTCCCTGAATACACAGTGGGATCAGTGAATATGATATATTAAGCACTGTTTGCTTTAATATCTTAGTATTTTCTTGCATGAATTACTAGTTGCAGTTTTAGTAAATGAATAAAAAACAGGTGTAGAACTTATACTGGTTATTCCCATAATTTAGTGAAATATGCAGTTTGGCAAATACCATGATGTTCAAGACATATACTCGTACAAGTTTTGCTTATTAAATGAAGCTTTGTTTAAAAATATGGAGATTAAATGCCTGGAATCTTAAATACTATAGGGCTCCTAACTCTCCAAATAAGTGTTCCATATAGACAAGAAGGGAGACGGAGTCCTGTGCATGGTGGGGGGGGGCACATCCCACTCCTTACACTTATTACTGTATCAGTCTCAGTAACACATTCTGCTTAAAATCTTTATTATGGAACAGCCTTTGTAAATGGATTGTACTCAAATCAGTTGAAATTCCCTTTTAGTTGACTGTCTTCTATTAGCAGTGCTTCAAAGTGAAACATCAGTCTAGTACATAATTCTGTTTACCAGGTGTGCACACTGTCTGAGAAAGAAGATCATAACTGTAATACTGCATGTTGCCATTAGAAGGATTCACAGCTTGGTGATAGTTGTTTGCAATTAACTAGAGGCTGGTAATTACCTTGTCTTGCCAGTCACTAAGGTTTAACTAGGGACAGTATTGCTCATTCTGCAGTGTGACTGTGGCCAGTATCCAGACAGCAGCCCATCCTGTCTTCTTTTTCCACCAGCATTGGATTGGGTGGAGAAAGTCTTAACAATACTGTACTTAAACATTTGTTGATCATATGATCATATCTGGGTGACAAGGCCTTGTAAATATCTAATGGGAAAGAGGGGAAAAGCCATGTGGTTCTTGCACAGAGTGCAGTAACAAGGCGGGTTAATACCTTTCTTGGATCACTAAAACATTAGAATAGCTGAGGTTTTGAGTTCAGTATGAACTTTCTTTAGGCTGGGCTTTGCACAGCTTGAGAGGGGATGGGGAGAAACAGAGAACTTCAGCAACGTACCCTGACCAAGTGTTGCCCTGTCGGTATCAATGACTCAGGATGAACTTCAGGCTGGTCACATCAGCTTGAGGCATTAGGTTTTGCCCTGGGCAACACAGGATGAATGGTCTTTGCCCATCTTTGTAGACAAAGGGGCGGGGGCAGGGGCAGGGGGACAAATACCTAATGCATTCTTCATGCTTTGTAGACACATCTAGCTCCTGTTTGGCTGGAAGTAGTTTCTGTCTATGCCTTAATATTTTCGTAGTCTAGTAAAGGTATTACCCAGCCTTGTTTTTTGATACGTTATAGAAACAGTGTAGAAATATGGGGGGAACAAGGGGAGAGAGGTGGTTACAGCATCTGATACATACTGTTAAAGTAAGGAAGTTTGTCACAACTTATCTCCACTTTTTCTCTCTTTTTTTACAGCATTCCTAATGTTCCTTTTGGTTTGCTAATAACCTTTCGAAGAGGCAGCGCCAATTGCCCGGTTACAGATGACAGACATACTTTTCCTCTGCAGCCTTCAGATTCCATCCAACCTTTTTTTTTTGCCCTGTTAAAGAAAGTGGGGTATACGAAGAAAAAAAAATCAAGTCTGCCTTTCAGAATACACATACAGTTTCCCCAGGCTTGAATCATTTGTGGAATCTTTGCCAAACCTAAGTGACCCTTCAAGAAGTGTGTGGCATGCAAATTCATCTTTCTAATATGCCTGGATTAGTTGGTTTATCAAACCTCTGTTTTCTATTGAGGCTGTATGTTTTTATTTATAAGACATATTGTTGATAAACTGCAATAACTTTTTGATTAATAAAAAGAATTTTGTCCCATTTCTTTAAAAATGTGAAGTAGTTCAAGCTACTTGAATTCAAAATTACATCAAGTCATTTATACTTGCTGGAATGAACAACTAAAGCCAGTTTGTTATAATGGAGTAGCCTAATATTAAGATTTTATAAAAGCCTTCTGAGCCTCTGATTGTGTGTGTTTTCATTTTGTTTTTGGTGCCTGTGACATAATTTTCTTACTCTAGATGATGGAAAAAACTGCTATGAAGTAGGTGCTGATCTATACATCTTGCTCCGTGTGTGTCTCCACATAGGGAGCAGTGACTATCAAGTTGAGGTACCTGAGACTATATCTTATTTGAGGACTGGATAAGTGCATTATGGACTCACAGGAAAAGAGGATTGTTTTGAAGATCATATTCAGAGGCATTCTTTTTCTTGCTTTTTCTCTAGTGAAATATATGATGCTCTAATGAATACATTTATGAACACTGGACTTCTTCGGCTTATTTCCTGCTGCTTGTGGTATTTTATTTTATTTGCTGATTGGCCAGTTTTTCACCAAAAATAATATTGCAACAACTTTTGTTTGTTTCGGTTATAGATAGTGGATTCTTATGGATCAGTAGCATTTTCCTCAAGTATATGATTTTTAGGGGATGTACCCACATTATTTTTTTATAAAGACATAGCAGTGTCATTCTCAGAGAAGGAGGTATAAAATAGAAGTAGAGATTTTGTAACTAGATCAGCCTTTTCCTGCTGTAGGAGCTGTGCACCTGGTTCAGTACACTATGCTACATTTACCTATTTTATATGTCTTCATAAGTATGATATTCTGGCTGATATTAAAAGATATTGAGTCTCAGAAAGCAATGGAATCTTCCCAGTACTGTTTCTTTTTTCTCATTCTGAATGTTGGTGCTCCATTTATCAGTTTGAAATTTCCTGTCAGTCATTTGTTAAACTAGAACAAATTCTGTAAGAAGGATGGCAGATGAATCGGCACCTTGTCAATTGAAATAGCAAATGGGAAAGACCTCCAATAAATCTTGGATTAAATTTGTCTTCAGTTTTTGCCATTATTCTGATCATACTCTCATTTCTGAGTAAAATGCTAAAGAATAAAGATGTGCAGAAATGTTCAAGAATCAACAACAGTACTAACTATGTGGAGTCTGCTGAAGCAGACGTTTAAAGGTAAAGGTAAATGTTTACAACAGTGAAAATGGAAAAGTGTTAAAGATTTTCATTTGGAAGAATTTGCTTTGTTTTTCATTTGTTCAGTATTGTTTAATTCTTTGAAAGGAAATGGCTGTTGAAAACTGATTAAACTATTTTAATTGGTTGCATAGAGAATAAAATGTGTGTTTGGTCTTGTACATTTAAAATTGATCATGAACTTCTAATTTCAGTAGAGATAAAATATTCCTTATTATATGAACAGATTAAAACAGTGTAACAAAAATTTTAATATCTGTCCTCCCTGTATGCTGTAATGTTTTGTTTTTGCCTTTTGTGAGCACTATTCAGTAACTTGGTTCTATTCCATTGTAGCATTGTTCTAGGGTCAAGTGAGGCGAGTACTACAGATTTACAACATTGGATTTCGGTTTTTAAAAGTATGTATTTAGAAGCACAGCCATAGTTCCACAATGACATAGCAATGAGAATCCTCTCTTGAGGGACAGTGCATACAAAGGAGCAAACTGAGGTCTTTGCAGCGTTTCACTAGACAGGAAAATGTAGCTCGACACTGTGGCAACTGTATCTGTAAGGATTTTCCCCTATTTTCTCATCCTAATAAGAGCATCTCTCTTCCCCCTCCCCCAATTATCACTTGGTATTTCCATAGCCTTTGCTTACAGAGGCCATGAGCACTGAAGCCTATCATGGACCACGAGTTGTAACATTTTTGCTAGTGCTTCTCTGTGTCAGCAGAAATAGATGGCAACTCCCACAAAGCCATGGAGCAATGCTATACATAAATGATTGTGAGAAATTAAATAGATAACTATAGATTACCAATAGGTAAATAGGGAAATTAAATAGTTCACCTATAGATAGTGAAGACTCTGCTCATGATCCAAATTCAATCATGGGCTCAGGTTTGAGGCTGACTCAACCTTCCACCCTTCCAAGGCTGATAAATTGAGTACTTATCTCACTGGGGTGGGGTGGAGGGCAGTGTGTAGCTTGCATAATTAAAAATTGTAAACTGCCTAGATAGTGCTTTAAGAACAATGGGGCAGTATATAAGCAGCACATTTTGCTAACTGCTGCTGTTAAATAAGACCACAGTGTCCTCTTAAAACTGGACCTGTAACAAAACCTCTCAAAACTTCATTAAAATTATGTTTTATTTAATTCTGCCTTGTTTTATATTGAGCTTTTCCAGGTTAATGGAAGGAAGAATATTAAACTTCTGGTAATCCTTTCCTTTGAGGATGTTGTTAATCCCAATGTTGGTAATCCTCAATTTTAAATACTGGTATCTAAAAATATAAATCCATGTTGTCATCTTCAATTCCATTCTACTTAATGTGGTGATAGAGATAATGTTCAGGTTCTTCATAGACCTGGTTTTTTTTTGGGGGGGAGGGGGTTAATTCTTGGTGTCTCATCATGTTTGTGCCTCTTTTTTTTGCTCTGGACAACAGCTACATGATTTGCATTTTAGTGAAGTATCTTGTCACAGTAGCAACCTGATGTTTTAATACATATTCCAGTACAGTGGTGCCTCGCTTACCGATCACTCCGTTTAACGATGAAATCGCTTACCGATGAGGTTTTGGCCATCGCCAGAGCGATCGGTTAGCGATGGCCCCTATGGGGATAAATCGCTTTGCGATCATGGCAAAGCGACCCTTGCACGTCCGGGAGGAGGTGGGAGGATCCACCCGGAGGAGAGCAGAGCAGCGGTGCGCTGAGGGGGAGCCTCTCATCCCGGCCAAGGGATCTCGTGGAAGCCCACCCTCCATTGGGAGTCCCCACCACCACCACCACCACCGGCTGCTCTCTCCTCCGCCGGCTTCACCCTTTCACCTTCTAGCCTGGAGTCTGTCCTCCCCCCCTCCTCGCAAGGAACGCCTCTGCGGCCACTTAGGCCATCAGGACACCCATATGTCCACCTCCTGCCCCTCCGAGCCGGTGTGTGTGTGTGTGTGTGGGCGCCGGCCGTTTTTGTTCCATTTTTGTTCCCTTTTTTTCTGGTCTGCAAGTCGAACCTAAATTTTGGAGCCACAGAAGTCTGTAACTCGAAAAGTCTGCAAGTCGAGCCGTCTGTAAATCGAGGGTCCACTGTAGTAAGTTACAACTAGAATAAGCCCACTGTGTGAGTGAGGATTTGTTGAGTCAACTCTTCCATAAGTTCCATTGATTCAATGAAATCAATGGAACTAGTTATGATTTATTACACAAGGTAATAGGATTTCAGCCAACAGGAAAGATCGATCCTTTTTTGTAATTGGTCTTCCTATTTTCCTCCTACTTCCAACTTTAAGCAGCATTATTGTCTTTTCCATAGTATTATCTTCTCAGGCTATGCCGAAAGTATGATAGTCCCAGTTTAGTGTTTTTTCTTTTTTTCTTTTTGTCATCCAATGTGATGCAGTGGATAGAGTGACAGACTAGGACTCAGAAGGTCCAGATTGAACCCCTGCTCAGCTATAGAAATTCACCGGAGGTACTAGCATCCACTTCTTTTAATTTCTGGTTTAATGGTATCTGTCAAGTTCTATTCCAACATTATGCTTCATATGATTTGTTGTTTTTCTAGATAGTTTTCACATTTGTACAAAGTAACAAGTGTGACACTTGAGAATCTTTTCTAGTTCCTTTATAGCTGTCTGTGAGCTCCCCCTACATCTCATCCATAATGACACAACAAGTAGTTAAATGCCTCTTACTAAAGTGGTGAAAATTTAATGTTGAACTTAAAAATGTACCCTATTCTTTTTAGTTAGACCTTGTTCATTTCTTTCTCTCTTTCATGGGAGTACAGTGGTGCCTCGCACAGCGAGGTAGAGGCTGCACATACAATGTTTTTTTAAAAGCTTAATAGCAGTTGTTTATTAAATATATTGAGGGACGCGGTGGCGCTGTGGGTTAAGCCTCTGTGCTGCAAGGTCAGAAGACCAGCAGTTGAAAGATCAAATCCATGCGATGGAGTGAGCTCCCATCGCTTGTCCCAGCTCCTGCCAACCTCGCAGTTCGAAAGCATGTAAAAATGCAAGTAGATAAATAGGTACCACCATGGTGGGAAGGTAATGGCATTCCCTGTCTAGTTGCGTTGGCCACGTGACCACGGAAGCTGTCTTCGGACAAACGCTGGCTCTACAGCTTGGAAATGGAGATGAGCACCACCCCCTAGAGTCGGACACGACTGGACTAAATGTTAAGGGGAACCTTTACCTTTACCTATTAAATATATGTGGGAAACTTTATCAACAGTGCTTTCTTCTAGTTGCTGCCAGGGCCACATATTTATACCTCCTAATCAGGAGTTGTGGTTTTTGCCAGAATCTAGTAAGATTGTTTATGTTATCTGACATGACAAAAGAATTTTTAAGAGATGGTGCCAGTACAGAGCTGTTTAGCAATATCTTTAGGATAGCTTATATTTACAGCAGAAGGATTTGAAACAAATGTTGTGTTTGTTTTTCTCAACAAAGTTCACTTTCCTTTATTTTTTTCTTTTTTCTTTATAGTCAATAGGTTGAACATTTGGATTATCAGAAAGTACTGGTGAATTGACCAGTCAGATCTTGTCAGATAATGCCAGTTACCATTAAAAACATTGGTTTTATTAGAACAAAAACAAAGATTAATTACGAACAGCTTGAAAATCTTGCCAGTTGCAAAAATAAGTACAAGTCTATGTACGTGCACTCTCTCTCCACCCCTCCCTGAGCGAACCGCACCCCTTCGTGCATGCACATGAGCCGCATTCTGCCCATTTGCGCATGCACATGAGCATGCCCTGCCCCTCCACAAGTATGCTCCACCCCTCCGTGCATGCGGGCAAGCACGCCCTTCCCCTCCATGAGCACGACCCTTTGCAAACAGACCCCACTCCCCCCACCGGTCCGTGACTCAAAAGGTTGGAGACCACTGCCTTAAGCTATCTGTATATAGTATAGTCTCACGTTCCATCTAGTGGCCAGTCCTAGTAATACACTGTGGTTTTTTAAATTATTTTTTAAATTTTTTTTTCCACACAGTGGATAAGTGAAACTGTGGGCATTGATCCTGTGGATTTGGCAGTCCTACTGTACTGGGGAGCCACAGCTAGTGGCCAGTAAGTCAATGGAGCCACTAAGTCAAGCCATTAATAACAAATGTATCCAGTGGTACTAAAAGTGGGCAAAATTACCTATTTAAGACAGCATGCACAAAGTGTAGCTAGAACCATTCATCAACGTTCTGCATATTTGCTGAGTTGTGGAAAATTTTTATGTGATGTAAGAGAGTCTTTTATTGTTAGCTCTTTGGAGCACTGTTGATTTATAAAGTGTATACATGGTAAGTAATTTCTCTGGTTCTTTACCATTTGTACTGTGGCCTCCATTTTCAACCTCTTGGTTCTGTTGATCAAATATTTATTTTATTTTATTTTATTTGTATCCCGCCCATGTGGTCTTGCGACCACTCTAGGTGGCTTCCAATACAACGTAAATAACTAATAAAAATAACACAAAAAATTGCATAAATCTTGCAATAACAATTTACAAGATGAGAAATAAAATAAAGAATAAATAAAGAAAAAAGAAAAGATCAAGTATTGACTGGAGGGAAGGCCTAAATAAACATCCATGTTTTTAATTGGTTATTAAAGATACCTAGTGTGGGGGCCGCACAAATCTCTGGAGTGAGATTGTTCCAAAGGGGAGGAGCTACCGCTGAGAAGGCCCAATTTCGTGTCTTTTCATTCCGGGCCTCTCTCAGCATCAAGCTCCTCAGCCTCATCTCCTGATTCACTCGGGTGGTCAGGGTAGATCTTGGTGGGAGTAGGCGTTCCACCAAATATCGAGGTCCTAAACCATTTAGGGCTTTGTAAGTAAGCAT